GTTGTTCACCATCTTAGCTGTAGAGGGCACAGCATCACTGGCCCTCATGTGGCATCCGAACCGAGGCCCTACTGCTCAGAGCTGGTGTCCCAAGCCAACTCGTAACCAACGCACCACTCGGCTGGCCTGACAAATGATATCTTAAAAGTTATTTGCAATGTGGAATCTGAAACCATATTGACAGACTTCTTGTTCTGTTACATTGAAACCATGGTCTTGTCCTTCTCCATCATGATAACAAAGCATGCATGTATTGCTTCCTCTGCTCCTGAATCTTGTCATCCAGCAAACAGATCTTCACTTTTCAATGTTGTTATCCCTGTCGACTGGGGTCAAGCCCACCATGTAGATATTTTGCTTGGAAGTAATTTGAGTTCTCAAAGAAAAGATTGTTCTTGTATGTATACATGAGTTGGTTTCCCAAAGGAAATCATTTTTATAAAATCCATGTACAGTGATTACTCTAGATGTTGTAGTAGAAAACTCTGGTCTGCCAGATAGTTTCTTAACAATGTCCATGGAAAAGAGGAAAAGGGAATGTTACGTTAAAAATAACCTCATGTCCTGTACTAAAGATTGCATTGCCATTTCTCTCTCTCTCTCTCTCTCTCTCTCTCTCTCTCTGTGTGTGTTTGTGTGTGTGTGTGTGTGTTTGAAATTTATGGATTTTCTGCTGTCATGGTATGTTTGTGTGGCTGTATGTGGATGCTTATTTATCATTCTATGAGACATTTCCTTAGCTACTTTGGTTAGTCTCAGTTGGGTAATAATAGTGAAAGAGATCTTTTAGAGTTTGCTTCCTAAAATGTATGTAGTGGCAACATATAAGAAGTAGATGCTTGTTAAAAATACAAGATCTTCCCCAAACCCACTGAATAAATCTGCAATTAATAAGATCCCAGGTGATTCATATACACATTTGTTTGAGAAGCACTGCTTTAGATTATTGAGACTACCTGAATAGTGGGAGTGCTTTTTCTGGCTTAGGTTTTCTTCCAAATACCAGGCTGGTTTTATTCACATTTTACAGAATCAGTAAGTGTTCATCGGAAATAACTACTCAGTGAAAAATTTTAATATATGTATGATCCTAGCAATATAATAAGATCAGGTGGACTGTCTCCTTTTAGTTCTGATCATCTTGTTATTTTACTGTTATAGGAAGAAGGACACTGCTTTCTATGAAATCTGTATCTAGCTCAGGGCTCTGTCACAATCAGAAATCACCTGTAACTTGCCTCCTGTGCTCCCCTACGTCAGGATTGTTGACTTCAGATTACAGCAAGGGTGGATCTGGGGCCAGGAGGGAGCCTTCAGGCTTAAGATTGGACACTTCCTAGAAGTTGGGGAGTGTAAGAAGGGCTGTGAAGCAGGACTCCAGCTGGCCCTGCCTGGCTATGGGAGGCCCTGTGGAGATGCTGTGTCTGTGTGAGTGCTTCTCAAAACATGCAGGGGCCGGCCGAGTGGCTCAGTTGGTTAAGAGCTCACTCAAGAGTGCGAGCTCTGAGCAACAGCGGGTCGAGTCCTGGCCCGAGCTGAGCTGCCGCTGAGCTGCCAACAGGTGGCAGGATGGCTCAGCTTAAAAAAAAAAACCAAACAAAAAAAAAACAACCAAACATCCAGAGCATGGACCTGCTCCTCACCTCCTCTGCAAATGGTAGACAGAGCTCATGCTCTTAATATCTGCATTACATTTTCCTTTTCTGAGAATCTATCCACATAAAGGACTGTTTTTTAAGTGAGTGATATTGCACATAGACTGATTAAACAGTGCTTTAGTGTTCATAGATATTTGGACTGGGACGGTTCCTCTTCAGCGGTAGTTAATAAGCAAAAGTATGTTAAGCACTATGTAGATAGACTATATTGCTAGTTGGTTGTATCACAAGTATATGAGCCTCTTGATCTTGCTTTACTTTGTCCAATCTAAAGAAAATTGATTTGGTTTCATTTTCAACTAATTTTGGACTTTTAAATAAAAGCAGTAGAGTTTTGTGGTTAAAAATGATACATAAAGGTATGTGTGTATATATATAATATAGTGAAAGTTTCTCACATACTCCACCCTCCAACATTGACAATGTTTTGTGGATCTTTCAAAAGAGCTTTTGCCTGTAGAGGACAGCTACATCTAAATCTGTCGTTCTCTTCCACTTAGGTATGCAAATTGGAATTTAACTACCCTGCACTTCTATGTGTGTTTTTTTAAACTTAACTGTACTTTGGAGATTGTACCACAATAGGTCATTAAGATTTATCTGTTTTCTTGATACTGTTTATAAATTGAGTGTGATTTGGTTGTTTACTCAAAACTGCTACTATTTTAGTTGCTTTTGGAGTTATATGAAAGTATGAGCGTACAGTTCAAATGTTTTAATACATGAAACAACCTGTAAAAGAGTCAGTAACCATTTCATGGCTAAGGGCCTCATGAAACTTGAAATTTCTAGGGCTTAAATAAAAATTTGTGATTCAGTATAGTGAAAACTACCATACCCACAGTTTATTTCTGCAAACTGACAGTTTATGAATAAATACTCATCTCATATTCAAGAGCTGATTTGTATTTGAGAGTTTGGTTTTTTTTTGTGTTTTTTTTTTTTTTTAAAGATTTTTATTGCAGAATCGGGGAGGGGAACAGACAAGTTGCTGTCCTTTCGTTCTTCAGTCTAGTTGTGGAGGACATCACTTCACTGGCCCATGTAGGCATTATCATTGTGCTCTTCCCAGCTGAGGCAGATAGGTCCACCGGCCGCTGGACGGCTGCTCGCAGCCGCTCTTGGCAGCTCATGCCAGCTGCCAGCCACTCACTGTAGCTTATGGCAGCCCACTGCAGCCCCCCTGCAGCCTACACCATCATCAGCGACTCATGGCATCCCAGCTCCAGGTCGAGCTGTTGTTCACCATCTTAGCTGTAGAGGGCAGTGTCACTGGCCCTCATGTGGGATCCGAATCAGGGCCCTGCTGCTCAGCTGGCATCCCAAGCCAGCTCTTAACCAGCGCGCCACTCTGCTGGCCCTGTATTTGAGAGTTGTATAGAGAGTACAAAGTTTTAGAATTAAGTTTTAGAGTTGAAATTTAGAATCTATATATTGACTGGTAGGTAGTTAGCTGGATGAACTTAAACATGTGACTATCCTTTAAAGGAAAATGGCCATTTTTCATATCTGAAGCATCCTACAAAATCATTTTTGCTAGCTTTTTTAAATAGGTGCATTTGATGTTAGACACTAATTATTAAGCTTACTTAATAGGTTAAAATTCAGTTTGTTAAGATGTCAGCCAATAAGGTTGTAGTGGTATAAATGAATGCTCTTAAATTTTAGAAGGTATGTGCTGAAATAATTGTGGTTGAAGTATCATGTTTGCAAGTTGCAGATGATTGAGAAAAACAAATTATATGTAGCCGGTAGGACAAAATGTGAATTGTTGAGTTCAGACTTATATACACTTCTCTGTGTCTTTCAAATTTTCTGTAATAAAAACTTGGGTTAGAGAAGCATACCTCTTAATATAATTCTCATAATTTACTGGTATTTAAATTCCAAGTAGCTATATAGTTTTTTATGATTTAATCTGAAAACATTATTATCGTTGACCTTCTGTAATTGAAGCTACTTTCATGTAATTTTTCTGTTGGGAAAATACTGAAAAAGTAAGTGAATTGCTTTTTAAAATTTTTAAAAAGATTTTATTGGGAATTGGGGGAGGGAACAGTGTTGGGGAATCTGGGGAAGGGGAACAGACAAGTTGCTGTCCTTTTGTTCTTCAGTCTTGTTGTTGAGAACGTCGCTTCACTGGCCCATGTTGGTATTATTGCACTGTTCCCGGGTGAGGCAGATTGGTCGCCAGCTACTGGACGGCCTCACGGTGGGTCTTGGCAGCTCATGCCAGCTGCCGGCCACTCAACGCCGGCTGCCAGCCACTCACGGTAGCTTATGGCAGCCCACTGCAGCAGGGGCTGCTGCCTACGCTGTCGCTGGCGATTCACAGCAGCCCAGCTGCAAGTCGAGCTGCTGTTCACCATCTTAGCTGTAGAGGGCGCAGCATCACTGGCCCTAATATCGGATCTGAACTGGGGCCCTGCTGCTCAGAGCTGGTGTCCCAAGTCAACTCTTAACCAACGCACCACTTTGCTGGCCCATGAATTGCATTTTAAATGAAAGCAAACGTGTTTAGATTTTATTAAGATGTGAAATTCTGAACATTGAAAATTACTGAATTTTATTACTGATGTAATTTTTGGCAAATAAAAGGATTACTTATATGTAATACTTTGTTTAGTAAATAAAAAGTAAAAGGGATTGATTGGTATTTTCAGTCTCTTGGTGGATAGGGATTAGTTAAAAAAAAAAATTGAGGGCCAGGAAAAGACATTTTATTCCAGCTTTGGTAAAATCAGAAGTTTTTATTGCACCCAATTTTTTCTCTTCTGCTTTTTTTATTTAGAAGGGAAAATACAGCAAAATTTCCCAACTTACTTGAGATAGAAAGAGGTAGGATGTGATGGCAGTTGTATTCTCAGATACGTGAGAAGAAAAGATTTTGGGTCAACAAGTGATTTGCAAAACTGTAAAGATAATTTCTGATTCTGAATTTTTTTACAGCTGGAAACTATTACTTTTTCGTGCTTCTTAGAACTATGGAAGAGATGAAATGTTTGAGCTTCGTGTGTGTGTGTGTGTGTGTGTGTGTGTGTGTGTGTGTGTGTGGTTTTCTGTAGCATATAGTATTGGGGAGTTCATATCTGCTAAAAGCTACTTAAATTATCCCATATATATCTGGTTTTGAGGTACTAGCATTTTTTTTTTTTGCTTTGATTTACTCTTTATTGCCAACTAAATAATTTCAAAGCAGTGTTGTTTTGTAATGGAAAATACGGGCAGTATGCTTTGTATGGAGCAAAATGTCGAGTGGTAATCTTAATTAAATATTTATAATATCATATTCATGTTAGTTGAATTTCTAGGAATAACATAGCCTTTTTTCTTCTTTTGTAGCATAAGCAGTACTATAATGGATGTAGACAGCACAATTTCCAGTGGGCGTTCAACTCCAGCAATGATGAATGGACAAGGAAGCACTACTTCTTCAAGCAAAAATATTGCCTATAATTGTTGTTGGGACCAGTGCCAGGCTTGCTTCAACTCTAGTCCAGATCTGGCAGATCACATCCGTTCCATACATGTAGATGGTCAGCGAGGAGGGGTTGGTTTTGTCATTTCTTTTTTTTACTCCCTGTTTTCATTAGTTTTATTAATTTATAATTGCTAGTTAGGCTTTTTTTCCTCTTGAAGTAATTTGGGATTGTTTTTACACAGGCTTTATTTTTTCAAATGTTTTTTATTTTTTTATTTACTTCCCACATACTAAATAGAACATATGTGTTGGATTTTAATTTGCTCTTAGGTATATTACTTTGAAGAAATTAGACTTTCTAAAATACTATAGTGGGAATATTATAAATGAATACAGTGTATTCCAAGGTTCTGATATTTTGAATTGAGGACATTTAGGAATTGGCACTGTTCAGGATTTCTGTTGTTAGAGTGGTCCTGAATTATCCCTGATGCTGAAATTAACTGAAGGCTTGGTACCAGGATTAGTATATACAATCCTATTGAATGACAACCCGCACTTATTTTTGCGAGTGAGACTTGATCATCTTTCTCAGGTCTTGTCAGAGTTAAGTTCTGATTAGTCAGTACTGACATATGCTCTTTCAGGACACATTTAATTGTGTCAGTTCATATAATTTTTATTAGATAGTGAATAAAGAGTTAAGCAAATGAATTGAATCAAAGTGTAATGAGACAAAATATTATTTATAATATTATTTCTTCAACTTTATCTAGTTTTGTCTTGAATAGTTACCACATTTAGTATGTTTTCCAGAAATTGATGTCACATTGTGAGTACAGATAATTTATTAGGCCACATATTTCCCATCACCCTGCCATCACTGTTGAGATATACTAATACTAAAATGGTTAAAATCATCAGGATTTAAATGAGTAGACAACTGTTTCTAAAGGTTGTATTGATAATTAGGTTATATTATTAATTTTTAAAAAAAACTCACAACCATGTATGAACACCCCTAACATTTTAACCTGTGATATTGCATTTGAAATTTAGGAAATATTTGCTGTTGTCACAATGTGTTATAATGTGCCAGCCGTCTTTGGATTATTCAAGCTTGATAAGTAAACATTTGTTTCATTAGATTTAATATTATGTATATGGTGTACAGTAGGCACTAGACGTAGTATTAATGAACTGTATCTATCATATGGTACTTTCACTGCATAACCTAGCCCAGTGGTTAGGCAATTTTGGTAACAGTGTTTTTTCTCCCCTCATGTATAACAGATTTTTAGTGTGAACCATCTTAGCTAAGCTGGTTTCCTAGTCATTACAGAGTTGCTTTTTGTGAGCCAGTGCTTGATGTCATTTGGTACTGTATATCACTAAGGTGACATGAGCCATGGCATGATGCTTTTTAGTCACTTGACTTAGCAACTGTATAGGATCACGAGCTATGTAGAAGATCTCTGGGCTTCTCTTAGTAGTGTGGGAGAGTTTCACATTCCTTATCTTGGATCCTACTCGATGAGTTGGCACATAGCCTTGTGGGAATATTTTTAGCCCTTTACAGGTTTGTAGAAAAATGGAATTACAGACTTAATGTATCATGTAATCACTGCAACTACATGTACCTTATTGATATTACACAGCTATGCATGAAGTCTTAGTATTTCTTCAATAATTATAAATTGTTGAAATGAACACCTCCATGTCATTTATTGAACTTATTCATAAAATTACTTTATTACAAATACAAATAATATGATTCTCTGGCTAATTTTAAGAGTAATGTTATTTTGAGCACAGAAAGGAGTCCTCGTTTTTGAAGAACATTAATTGCTAACCTACAAGTATAAAGTATTGGAGAAATGTAGAAAATAATTCCAGTTATTTCTATATACCAGTCATTGTTATAGTCTTCAGAATGAAAGTATGAATGAGAGTTTGAAAACCTGATACTAGTATATAAGATATGAGATCCTCATCTGGTTTTATGCTTTAAAATAGAATAGTTGTTGGTTGGAACATCTGATTTTTTTTTTAAATGGCCTCTTTGAAGGAAACTTAAAATCATTTTAACTGTTTTTAAGTGTACAGTTCAGTGTCATTAGTTACATTTACATTGTTGTGCAACCATCACCACTACCCACCTCCAGAACTTTTTTCATTCTCTAAAACTGGAATCTGTACCCGTTAAACAATGTCTCCCTTTTCCTCCCTGCCATCAGCCTCTGGTAACTGCAATTCTACTTTTTGTCTATATAAATCTGACTATTCTAGATACCACATATAAGTGGAAAACAGCTGATTTTGATGACATAACTTTTCTTTTTAGATATTTATTTTTTCTACCCTAAGTGTTAAACTGTCATAATGGAACAGAAAGAAATGAGAAAAAAGTTTGTAACTCTAGAGGACTTGATGCTTCTAATTATTGAAAGATGACAATTTTACTGGAGTAGTAAGTTAACAAGATTTAAATACTACTATTGATTCCTGTTCTTTTTCTCATCCCATGCTAATCTTCACCCTGGGGAAAACAAAACCGTCATATAACAGCTTAGAAACTTCTTTCCCCCCCTTTAATCTATGTTATCTCACGTAGACTTTAATTACACTTGTAAGCTGAAGTCAGGTGTAATTTACATTTTCTTGACCTTTTCATATGTCAAAGTGTGTGGATATTTAACTCTGCATTAAAAGTTATACTAAGCATTTAAATACCAAATTATGAATATAATCTTTTAAAAAAGAATCATGAGAGGGCTTTATCCTGTTTAAAAAATAAAAATAGGCAAAAAAATTAATCTTCTTTGTTAAGCATAATAGAATTGTGTTGTTGGATCCATATATTTTGTGCCTGACTGGTTTTCAAAAACTAGACTGAGCTATTTAATCAGATTTCAAATCCCAATGTGTCCTCTTAATATACACCTGTGTTTTGGTAGTTGGGGGAACTTTATCTTATAGGATTTCAGTGGTTCAATAAGATCCATTAGTCTTCTGTTCTTTTCTGTTTTAACTATTTCTTACTTTTAAGCTAGTTGCCAGAAAGAAATTTGTTCATGTTTCTTGATGCAGGAGTTATTTTATACATGTCATTTTATTAAGTTTACCTTTGTATATGTCCCTTGGTATGTTTGAGGGGAGAAGGCCAGAGGGAGATTTTTGCCAGGGGATAATGATGGGATATTATTCGAAGACTTGTATGGGGCCCGTTTCCTTTATGTTCTGTAAAATGACACTTGTAGACTTCCATGGTTAAATCAGGTTGCTGCTAGGAGTGAAATCAATCTTAGAAGGTCACTGCATTTTGATTGCCAATCTGGTATCTCTTGAACACAGTATGGAATTGGTCATATCTTCTATAATAAATGAAAAATATTTTATTCTTGTAATTTGTTTATTAAACGTTCTTGTCCTCTGTTTTATTAAATATCTTTTAACAGAGGAAATTGGAAATGTTAATATACTTAATGTGGCTAAAAATAATAGAATACAAAATTATACCTTATTTTGGACAGATCTTGAAAGAGCTACCTGATTTGAGACAAAGTAATTAGATATAAAAAATATTTTGCTTCTCTTTTGTATATTCACATTTTTTAAAAGGATGAGCTGAGTTTTTTTCTGAGAAATGTTAGCACTTAAAGGAACCATGAAATCATTCGTCCAACCTCTTCCTGCCTTTAAATGGTGTATCTCTTAGTACTTATGGAATCTAATTTTTTAGTAAAACTAGGCTTTTTCCCCTTTGGGCATATAAATTATACTGCTTGCCAGCTCTGTATTTAGAATATATTTGGTTGATTTTAATTTACTTCACTAATAATCGCTGAATTTGCCTTATGCGTATGTAGGCTCTGTCAGATTGCACTATATTCCTGAGCAGTGAATTTTATAATGACAGAAAATTTTGACGGATTCATTTGCACATTTCGAGTGTGAGATGTTAGTGACCAGATAAGTTAAAGTGCATTTACCTTTGTATTGTCACACAAGCCGTTGTAGGTGTAGGCCGTGCATACAGTCTGATAAAGAACACTGATACTTTTATTCAAGGAAATTGACCAAAGTGAAGGAGACGGAGACTACCCTTGATTCCCAGATTTTTACCAGCTTTCTTCATTTGGGGGCATTTTGGAGGAGATCCTTGGTAAAACCAACCTATTCTGATAGTAATGAGTTCTAAAGGAGTTCTCAACAGAAAGCCCAAACCTCCGCTAACATTGAAAATGCAGACCTGTACGTCTTATACGTTAGGTTATTATAAATTTGAGGATTCTTTGGTAGTCCAAAAATACTCTTAATGGCTGTGTGGCATTTTCCTTTTTTCTTTGACAATGGCAGAAGTTATTTTGAGAAGAAACCTCCAGTGTCTAATGTAAACACAGTTTTTATGTTAACTAGTCTTTCAGAGAGAATATACCATGTTACATTTTTCATCGTGTTTTGGAATTATCAGAAGTGTTCTTATATTGTCTCTTTGATGAGAAAGGAAATAGAGATATAAATGAGTGATTTTTTCAAGATTACATAGCTTCAAAATGTGAAAGAGCTGGATAGAGTTCAGGTCATTTACTTTTGTTCTATTTCTGTTACATTTAATACAAGCTAATATAACATAAATCTGTCTATCATGAGAGACTGGACTGTGAATCTCTGCCTCAGTATTCTAATTAACATAGCTAAATCTTAATTTATTTTAAGATAATATAGAGGAACCATGAGAGGTTTTATTTTTTGAATAATTTCTTTCATATTTGACTAATTCCTATGGAGTTTGGTTTTCAGTGTTAATTTTTACAATGAGAAAATTTCTAAAAATAGGGTATAAAAATGTTTTTGCATACTGTTCATCTAAAAAGACTCAGGTTTGAAGAAAGATCCTTTTGTCAGATTTTGGACTGTTTTATCAAAGGGTTTTTCTGATATGAATTAGGAAAGGAAATTCAGCTTTTAAAAAATTTTGGTTTTTGTGGATTCTTGATGTGAATTTTTAGTGCCTGTTTTGTGAATCAATACTATCCTTGTGTTGCCCTAATAGTGTTACTAGACATTATTCCATCTAGAGCAGCGGTTCTTAACCAGTGGGTCGTGACCCCTTTGGGGGTCGAACGACCCTTTCACAGGACTGGGTCGCCTAAGACCATTGGAAAACAAAAAGATATTTACATTACAATTCATAACAGTAGCAAAATTACAGTTACAGAGTAGCAACGAAAATGATTTTATGGTTGGGGGTCACCACAGCATGTATTAAGGGGTCGCGGCATTAGGAAGGTTGAGAACTGCTGATTTAGAGCCTAGACCATACCTACTCATAATTAAGGCTAATTATTATCTGCTGGAATTACAGGGTTTGCCATTGCTTCCATATTTGTATTTATTCGTAGGAAAAACATTAGGAGTCACAAATTTGTTGTTTCTCTCAAATGTAGTGGTTGGGTAATGTTAGGGGCAATGCTTAAGTATCTGATTTTTTTTTTTTTTGAGAGTAACTCAGCATTAGAGTTACATAACAGAATTTTTCACTGTTACAAAAGTTGTTATATAAATTATGTCAATTTTGTTTCCACATATTTGCTTTAACCCCCCCATCGGGCGCAACTGATCTCACAGATTCATTGCACACAAATTTTCAAATATGAAATACGTTTATAGTAAGTCACAGACATGACTAGTGATAGGTTACGGTAGAGGTTATGGTAGCAATAGGTTAAGGTAGATGAGTCATGATACTTAACTGTTAGATAATTTGAAAATTTGTGTGCAATGAATCTGTGAGATCTGTTGTGCCCGACGGAGGGTTAAGGCCTTTCTGTTTATGGGGCATGACTTACGAGAATTTTACTTGAAGCTCTGATTCGTCTTTATTACTAGGATTGAAAATTTAAGACTGAGTCTAGGAGTCTTGAGCCAGGAAATTGATAGCACTGATAATCTGCATATGATGGTCAAACTTTATTGAAATAATTTCACAACATACAGGTGTAGCTTTAGGTTTTTTTATTTTTATTTTTTGTGGATTCATTTGAAAAATAGCTTTTGGAATTTCAGGAATCATTTTATAAATATGTACTAGAGTCAGAAATTGTAAGTATGAAAGAGGAAGTGTTATGACTTCTATTTCTGCTTAACTAAAAAAAACTAGCAAATCTGTTATGGAATCAGGATATGCAATAACTTTCTCTTAAACAGTTAACATCAAACAGCAATAGCACTGTTGCCTGGCTAGGCCTATCTGATGTAAAATGGTTTTGGTTTTGAATAAAAATTGATCTCAGTTACTTTAGACTGTCGATTTTTCTAGCTTTAAAAAAGAATTATTTTAAACTGACTTCAATAATTGTTCAGTTTTGTGTGGACGTATGTTCGTTCTGTTCTGTATGTAGTACTTTTTTAGTTTCAGGTGCATATGTGTAGTATATGATAGTCTTCAAAGTGTGGCTCTATTTATAATTGTTCTTACCTTAGAAAGGAACAGAGCCTAGAAATGGCACTTTGAAGTTGATAATTCCAGTAGATTCATATTTCTTTTACTGATGTTGGGTAACAGTTTCAGTGTACAGTTTGATGGAACTATAATCAGTTAGAAAATTGATCACACTGGTAGGAAGATAAAGATTAGATTAGATTGTTAGTTGCTAGATTTGTACTTTTCCAAACCCAGTCATACTCAGTTGCCTGAACCCAAGATTGTAGATCTGTTATGATAGAGGAGCTCATGCCCATTACTTTTGCAACTGTATTAATTTGACATTTTGTATTAGATTTTGCTTTCTAATCAAGATAATTGAAAACATTTTTAATGAGTAGAACAATGTAAGAATAAATAGTATGTATGTGAGAATAGGAATTCAAGAGCAAAAAAATTGTAATTTGATAATTTCTCATTCTTCGAAAATGAAAGTGTCACTATCCACTGATTAACATTTGACTGTTTTATTTTCATTGTTTATACCATTATATTCCCCTGTTAATTAAATTAATACATGCTTATTCCTTCTTATAGTAAATACAAAATGTCCATAATCCTAGTTCCTAGGGATGTATTGTTAATATTTTGTATATTTTCTTCTGAGCAGCTCTTTGAGATTGGTGTGTCACTTCCTTATTGAGGGAATGGACAGCAGCCTTAAGGGGGAAGGGTTAATACTGTGCCTCCCATAATGGATGTTCCAAAAGTTTAACTACTTTAAGCATTTGATTAACTCATACATTAAATGGCTCTTTTTGCCAATTGAAGACTTTCAACATGTTCATTTGAGCTTACAAGGAATAAAATTATTTGTTGAAATAAGTGATGAAAATTATTATGGCTCTTCTTTTAACAGGTGTTTGTTTGCTTATGGAAAGGTTGTAAAGTATATAACACTCCGTCAACCAGTCAGAGTTGGTTACAGAGGCATATGCTGACACACAGTGGAGACAAACCTTTCAAGGTAAGTACATGCATGTGAATATTTTTTCTTTTTAACTTCAACTTAAGTTGGCAATTCTTAATGACATACTTTTGCCATTGTAAAAAATTATAAAAGAACCATTTGTTTTAACATTTCAGTAGATGCATGGAATTTAAAAAATAGTGGGAGAAAGGTAATTTAATCCAATTTTTAAAATTTGGAGAACAAAAGTCTCTTTGAGGGAAGGGTCTTAAGTAGTGGACAGACCAACAACTTGAATGCATGTCTATAAAATTGGTTGCTGTTAATGCCTGGTGTTTTAATTATGTTTTCCCACTGTCGTAGATTCAGCCTTTTCATTAGCAAACACTGATTATATGACAAAATGAAATTGTAGAACATTAAGGGACTTAATTCCTTTCACTCAATTTTGAAGTCATAATACTGAGTTTAGTTGTAAATTACTGTGTCCAATAGATATATTCAGGGAAGTCTGTATAAAGAGCAAGTTTTAATAAAAAGCATTATCCATTTGTATCTTTATTAAAAATTAAAAAAAATATTTTGGTAATTATGGAGGGCATATACCATAGATATTAAAAATTTGTGTTTAAAGAAGTTTAATAGTTGTTAAACCCATGCTATTTACTGGTAAGTAAATACTGTGCCAGAAACTTCCCTCGGATTTCATTAGAGGAGGTAATTCTTTTTTTTTCCTCCACATCCTGTGACTATATATATATTCAATTATAGTTGACATACAGTATTATATAACATCAGCTTCAGGTGTACAGTGCAGTGATAAAATCTGTACCCCATCCATGAAGTGGTCTCCCTAACAAGACGTGACCATCTGACACCCTACAAAATATTTGCAACATTATTATATTCCCTGAACTGTCTTTCATATCCCTGTTGCAATATTGTAGTTACCTATTTTTGTTGTTCTAATCCCTTCCCCTTCTCTCTCATTCCCACCCCCCTCCCAACTAGCAAGCATCAGTTTTCTAGAGGAGGTGATTCTTGTGGAGTTGCTTTTAAAAATCACCTAAATTTTTTTGAAAAGACAATCTTTAACAAGTTCTTTAAAAATATAAAGAAGTAATTTACATTGAGAAATCTTGCTCCCTTTCTTATACTCTCCCAAATAAGATAACCACTGTTATTAGTTTCTAGTGAATTCTTCTAGTATTTCTGTATGAAACCACAAGCAGATAAATATGTAGTCTCATTCTTATTCCTTTTCTTACACGGAATCTAGTAAACTATATACTGTCTGTGCCTTTTTGTTTTGTTTTTTTCCCCTTTTTTGTTTTTGTATTTTGCTTTTTAAAATATGTTTTTTATTTTAGAGCAGTTTTAATTTTATAGAAAATGTGTGTATAACTTGACTCCCCAAAAACTGAACTACAGTCGGCCCTTAATATTTCTGGGGGATTGGTTTTGGGACTCCCAAGGATACTAAAATCCATGGATGCTCAAGTGCCTTATGTAAAATGGCGTAGAGCATGCATACAGTTGACCCGACCCTTTGCGGCCACATCCATGGATTTCCAACTGTGGATCGAAAATACTGTTTTCAATCTGCGGTTGGTTGAATCCATGGATGCATAACCCACAGACATGGAGGGCTGACTATTGAAAAATATCCACGTGTAAGTGGACCTGTGCAGTTCAAACTCCTGTTGTGCAAGGGTCACTGTACTATAATTGAGGCTGGGAGTTGAGTGGGAGTTGTCTCTGGATAGGAGCAGGTGATGAGGTCATGATATTTGAGGCAAGTCTCTTATGGTTTTGAAAACTATTTTTTAGTTATTGAACATAACATAATATACAATAAAGTGCCTAAAATACACTGAAGTGTTCAACAGTTTAAAGATTTGTTTCATATGTGTATGTATGCACCTTATGTAACTACTGCTCTGATGAAGAATATTTTCAGTAAAACAAAGTTTCCTAATGTGCCTTTCCAGTCTATACTTCTCCTTTCCTCTTCTCCTCTCCCCAGGCCATATTATAATTTCCATCATCCTGGGTTAGTTGTATGTCTTGTGTCTGGCTTTTTTCACTCAACAAAATAGCAGTGAAATTTTTCTTTATTGTTGTATGTACCGGTAATCTTTTTTTAAATTGCCACGTATTTGATTGTACAAATAAACCATAGTTAATTCATTCTAATGCCAGTGTCATTTGGGTTTTCTTGGGCAATTATTAATCAGGCTGCCCTAGCATGTTCTTCTCCATATCCTCCGATTGCACACATACATGCGTTTCTCTTGGCTGTATGCCTTTGAGTGCAATTCTGTGTCATAGAACAGGGCATTTTTACCTTTTAGAAACTACCAAACTCTTTTCCAAATTGGCTGTATCATTTTACATACCCAACAGCAGCAAATGAGAGTTTTAGTTGTCAGTCTTGTTAATTTTAGCCATTCTGGTGAATGTGTATTGGTACCTCACTGTGGATTTAATTTTTATTTCCCTGGTGAGTAATGATGCTGAGCACATTTTCGTGTGCTTGTGGCTGTTTGATTTTCCTATTTTGATGAAGTGCCTATTCAAGCCTTCTCTTATTTTATTTGAATAGTTTGTCTTTTATTATTGTATAATTTTTAAATATATTTTGGAAACAGTTCCTTTGTCAGATATATATGTATTGTAAATACCTTTACAGTCTGTTTTTGGTTATCCTTTTTACCTTTCCTAATGGAATCTTTTTTATTTTTTTAAAGATTTTATTGGGGAATTGGAGGAGGGAACAGTGTTGGGGAATTGGGGGAAGGGGAACAGACAAGTTGCTGCCCTTTTGTTCTTCAGTCTAGTGTGGAGGACATTGCTTCACTGGCCCATGTTGGTATTGTGATCATTGCGCTCTTCCTGGCTGAGGCAGATTGGTTGCTGACCATTGGACGGCCGCTCACAGTGGCTCATGGCAGCTCACACTGGCTGCCAGCCACTCACGGTGGCTTATGGCAGCCCACTGCAGCCCCGTGGCAGCCTACGCTGTCGCTGGCGACTCACGGCAGCCCAGCTCCAGGTCGAGCTGTTGTTCACCATCTTAGCTGTAGAGGGTGCAGCGTCACTGGCCCATGTGGAATCTGAACTGGCGGCCCTGCTGCTCAGAGCTCAAGCCAACTCTTAAGCAACGAGCCACTTGGCTGGCCCCCTAATGGAATCTTTTGAAGAATGGTTTTTAATTTTAGTGAAATCTAATTTTTTTAATGATTAGTGCTTTTTAATTTTTTTTAACAAAATCTGTGCCCATTCTTAGTATATGAAGATGAGACAGTCTTACAGAAGAGCTAAGGGTTTTGTCTTGTGATGGGATCATTTCAGGGTGTGTGTGTGTGTGTGTGTGTGTGTGTGTGTGTGTGTGTGTGTGTGTGTGTGTGTGTGTGTGTGTGTATTTTTTTAATGCAATTTACATGCCATGAAATTTACAAACTGTACTATTCAATAGTTATTAGTGTATCACAAGGTTGTGCAACCATCACCACCACTAATTATAGGAAATATGTGCTTTTGAGAGAAAGCATAAAAGAATAGAATAAGTAGTCTATTTAGGGAATAGCATGTAATTTCATATATTTAGGTGATACTTGATGGTGGCAATATGAAAATATTTTAAATGCTGCTGACTAGTAAACTTGAAATATCTAGAAATTAAATGTAAAAGCAATTGGTTGCAAAAAGTTTCTCATGTAGATTGTTTAGTATTTGTTGTGTAATGAACAAGGCGAAGTGTAGGGGTCAGAAATAATCATGATTAGCAAAAGGCTTGAATAATGCTGCTTTGTGCCTTGCATATTACACACATTTTATTGCATTACATATTGTAACTAGTCCTTACAATAATTCTTTGAGGTAATTACTGTTGTTGCCCTCATTTTATAGATGAGGAAACTGATATAAGAAGAGATTAAATATTTTCTAAGGTTTAATGGCAGCTAGTGGCACGTTGAGAACTTGAGAGGCAGTATGAATTTGACTTCTGTGTCCTTAACCACTTATATCTCCCAGTAATTTATAATGCAGAACAACTTCTGTGCAAATTTATGTATTGTATATTGTCTTTGGCTTAATGTTGCTCTCTCTTAACTGTATTAGTCTGGAGTTTGATTATTCTACGGAGTTGGCATTGCAGTTTTTTGCCTTTTATATTTACAGTATGCTTCAAGCATTTGCCAAAGAGTTCAGTATTATTCATGTCTTTAAAAAAAAACAGTGTGGCTGCACTGTGGGGGATACTTGATAAAGTCATATTAAAGGTTTTAAAAAATGTGTACTGTCTTTACTAAAAATATTTAAAGTTACTCTTTATACTAAAGCCTAAATAAAGAAAAGGAGTGGAGACTAGGGAAAGGAAGGGCTGGTGTAAATACCCAGTGCTGCCTGTCTGTGACAGACCTTAGAAGTTCACAGCCAACAAGGCTTTTTCTTAATTCATAGTATTATACTATCATTATTTATTTATTTATTTATTTTAGCTGGCCATTCTGCCACCTGTTGGCATCTCAGTGGCAACTAAGCTCGGGCCGGGCATCGAATCGCTGTTGCTCAGAGCTTGCACTCGTGCGCGAGCTCTTAACCAACTGAGCCACTCGGCGGGCCCTATACTATCATTATTTTGATGCTCATCTAATACAGATTTTATGTATTGAATCTATCAGTTTTTACTTGTGTGGCTTCTGGGGTAACTGTTTAAAGATCTTAATGGGTAAGAGTCTCATTAGAGTGTTGGCAATAGCAAATGCTAGAAACTGGGAGTCAGTAAGACCTAATCAACCTGATATGGGGAAGGACAACCACACGTATATCATTGAGGTTTAAGCCTAATTTTATGGTCCCTAAATTTATTTGCCTTAATGCTGGATAATAAAAAGACAGAGCGTGTCATGAAAATAATTGGTCATGTCAGCTCATTATGAAATTTTAGTTTTGTAAAATCATACTCCTAAAATGCAAATATAGTTTCTTTGTCAAGGTTTTTTTTTTAAGATTTTATTGGGGAACTGGGGAAGGGGAACAATGTTGGGGAA